CGTGTGGAACTTCACCGGGTCCTAATGAGTTACACCGGTTTAGCAGTTGCTGCTTGCAGAAGCATTTTTTTAAGTTTTGTTATTTTTGACAATAGCAGCATTTTTTGCATTTCTTCTGAAGCATACCAGCACCATTTTCCTTGTGCAAATTAAAAAACTAATCTGCCCTTGCCCTTCCTGTCCCATCCTCCCCCAAACAAACCCAACATCTGGCTTAAACATGTTGTTTAAATTCTTTCCAGAAAGAGACAGAGGGAAGGTGGGAAGGGAGTTTTCCTCCCATATACCTTTTTGGTAGTAGAGTTCACTGTCGTTTCTGTTCTGGGCGGGGTGACGTGCCTGAGTAACATAAATACACCACAGATAGGAAGCAGTTGGCCGGTGGCCATGCAGCTGGATTATCCAGACATCCTTCACAGCTTTCAGTGCAACCCTTTATCCCCCTGCCTTGTTTTAAATAGCCAGAGGCCTCAGGGGCTGATGGGGCTATTGCCAGAGGAGATGGGGTGGGGGGTTCTGTTCCTCTGCCCCCAACACACCCCATCACAGAGGAGTCAGTGCTCTTCGGAAGGGGCATAGGAAGAATTAGGGCAAGATCAAAGATGTGGCAGGCTGTAAGCAAAGACCCGAATTAGCAGCCCCTGTAGTCTCAGAGCCAAGGGGTGGGGTATTTTTTAAAATCTCCAATAAATGAATACTTTTTGGAAGTAAGTTTATGGCACCAACATAAGTCATGCAAACTTCCCTTTTTCGTGTTTACTTAATCCCCTCAAAGGAAGGGAGAACGGCAGACAGCTGCAACACAAAAAAAGTTAAAAAGCATGTTCTAACAAGAGGTGTGTAGAGTTTCAGTTATTCACCTTGGCCATTTCCTGTTGGGATGAACCCATCGTACACTAACAGAAGATCTGAGAAAGCTGTGTGTTTCATCCTGAAGAGTTACAAATCCTGGGGACCCTTAGTTTTTCTAGAATGAACGGGACATGGCAGGGAAAAGTATTTTCTCAACTTGTTTGTATGTAACTAATCTAAACAAATGTTATCAAATGTTCCTAATCTCTGTGATCTAAAGCAATATGGATTTGAATCATGAGATGAATGGATTAATCAAAGAAACCATGTGATTATTAAATTTAGTTTTCTTATTATACGAAATCTTTATCCTATCCCAACTAAGCTATTGTGGCTCATAAGCAAATGAGTATTGAACGCTTTATTTTCTCTCAGAGATTTTGTTAGCCACAAATAACTTTTTTAAAACCTGTTTATAAATTTCATGCATTTAACCCATTCATTGGGGCGCCTGGATGGCTCAGTTGGTTGGGTGCCTGCTTTCAGCTCAGGTCATGATCTCAGGGTCCTGGGGTCAAGCCCTGCATCGGGCTCCCTGCTTAGCTGGGAGTCTGCTTCTCTCCCTCCCTCTGCCCCTCCCCCTCCCCCTGCTCATGCTCTCTCTCTCTCTCTCACTTGCTCTCACTAAGTAAATAAGTACAATATTAAAAAAAAATTAACCTTTTCATTCCACAGCCTACCACATATAAAACACTGCTGTAGGTTCTAGGGATGTAGCAGTGAACAAAAAGGGCAAAGGCCTTAGTTCTATGGAGTTTACAATCTAGTTGGAAAAAGTGGTCAAACAAGTAGGGCAGATGTTGTTTCAGTAGCATGTAGAAAGATAAAGAAGGATGAGAAGATTTAAGAGGATTGGAGGGTACTACTTTATATGAAATGGACAGAGAATCTTCTCTGATGAAATAACCCTGGGCAGAGACGTGGGGGAAATAAGGAAATGAGCTGAGTTAGTGTGGGGGGAGAAGGGTGGGGTGGGGGGGGATAGCAAATGCAAAGGCCCTGAGGTCATAGTGTGCTTAATGTGGAGGACAGGGGCAATAGGACTAAAGTAGAATGAGCAAGGAGGAGAGTGATAAGTGCTTGAGTTTCATTTTTACTCAGAGTAACTAGGAAGCTTACTGCCTGTCTTATTTTAGTAGAGTATCATAATCTGACTCACCTTTCTATTTTCTTAGAAAGTTGGGTGGGCGTGGAAGTAGGAAGGCCAGTTAGGAGGAGGTTGCAGTATTCTGAGAGGTGATGGCGACTGGGATCAGGGCAGTGTCGATGGAGGTGGTAAAAAGTGGATTCTGGCTATATTTCAAAGGGAGAACCAGTAGGATAAAAAAGTATTGACAATTAAGAGTTCAATCTGAAACATGTTGATTGAGATATGCCTACCAGACGCTCAAGGAGAGAAGTCACATAGGTAGTTGATTTTACTGATCTGAAGTTCAGGGAAGAGGTCTGGGTAGACATGTGAATTTGGGCACTGTTAGCACCTAGAAGAATTTTAATTGGAGTTGTTGGCCCTGGCTTGGGTTATGGATGGTTTAGCCATAGTTAAAGGAGGAGAGGCAGAGAGTACTGATACAGAGTCATAGGCATGCTAGTGGGCACAGATGCAAGGTCCCTTCTGACTTTGCCTATCTTCCCAGGGAAATTAAAACAATTCATCCATCACCTGAGAGCGACAGGGTAGGTGGGCCCATGAAATCTTCTTGGGTACAGATTAGGGAAATGTGGCAGCTTGCTGGGGGGCACCTAGAAGCCCACTTGAGGTTAGTGACTTTAAAACTAGACCTTTGAACAAAGTCCTATTCAACAGCCTGGGTGGGGCATGGAGTTAAGGAGGTGGTAGAATTTCACCAGGGTTGGGGTTTCACCGAGCATTACAGTGAAGAAAGAGAGGGCAACGTGTTACGTTTTTGTACAAAAGCGTGTCGTGATAGACTATGGAACTTGAGTACTGAATCAAGTGAGAACACGAAGGTTCGGGGGAAGGGCGTCAGAGCAATAGATGGTTGGTCCCAGTGGGGTGAAGACTTGCAGGAATGTGGAGGGAGTGAGCCACAAAGTTGGGAAGTGGCAGCTGGAGAGCACGCTGCTTAAAACTGAGGTTAAGGAGGTGGTGCAGATATTAGTAATGACAGGGTCATGGGTGTGACCTAGGCTGGGGTACCTAAGGTTGGGTGTAAGACAAGGGCATTGGGGAAGAGTTCCAGAAACTGAGAGGCCAAGGTATTGTACGGAACTTCTCTGTGAATAAGGAAATTACCAAGAATCACAGCAGGGATCGTGGTGGAGAGATGGAGGAACAGTGGGCCCATCTGCCACTGTCTTCCAGGAATGAGGGAAGGGATGCGGCCCAGACGTCTGTAGAAGACTGAAGAGGAGGGTGGTGGTGGCGTGGTCAGACTTGGGAGCTTCAGAGAAACCGGGGCGCACACCTGTAGCCTGCGGCAGAAGTGACTACCCTGCCCCACATCGAGCCTCAGCAAGGAGAGCTGCAGGAGAGAGAGAACGGCTTTGCGTCAGTGGGCCCCAGAAGCTCAGCCCCAGAGCACATTTCCATGTAGGTTCAGAAAGTGAAAGGAACATCTGTGAGGTCCCTGGAGCAGTCAAAATCATTGAGACAGAAAGCAGAAGGGTGATTGCAGGGGCTGTGCAGAGGGGAGAACAGTGGGGGGTTTAAAAATGTCTAATGGGTATGGAGTTTCGGTCTGGGATATGAAAAAAGTCCTGGAGATGGATGGTGGTGAGAGTTGTAGAGCAGTGTCCGTGTATCAATGCCACAGAATTGTACAGTTAAAATGGTACATGTTATCGCATATATATTTTACCAGTTTTCACAATGAAAGCACTGGTCTGAGGAAGGGACGAGGAAGTAAGAGGGAGCAGGGGGGTGGAGGGGTGTAGAAGTTGAGCCACAGGGAGTCATGGGAAATCTGGGTGAGTGTGGTGAACAGGGGTGTAGGGCAGAGGGACTGTCTAAAGGGTCTCTGGTGGACTGGACATGGCAGTGGCTGGGCTCTGGCCTGCGTAGGGGGAAGGAGAGGTCTTCCCTGAGTCCCAAGGAAAGAGGGGGCTCTATGTTACTCTACATTTTTGTTTCTGTAGAATCTGGCACAGTGCCTGGCATGTAGAAGATGTGAATATGCTTTTGAATGAGTAAAAAGTGAATTCTATCCAAAGAAAGAAAACAGCAAATGAGAATTTAAATGGCCTTGCTGAAAAACCCAAATATGTTTCCCCAAAAGTGATGAAGAATGACAAGAGCTAGAGTTGGTCTCTGGAGAAGAAAGAGGATTTTTGGCAAATGTGCAAAAGAAGTTATTGCGAAATTGAAGTTTAACTGGAAAAAATAAAATCATAAACAGAAGGCTACACATGCGTAAAGGGTATTGGAACTGAAATCTTTTCCCACCTACATACGCGATTGCATGGTGAATTTGTGATTTGGAAGGAAATTATCCTGTTCTTGTGCTAAATCAGAAGATGATTAACTTTATAAAATGTTAAGCCTAGGTCATTCATTGTGAACTAAGTTTTAAGGGTTGAAATTGTAATATCCTCTTAAGTTCATAGGTTTGACTTTCCTAACTTAGGGATAACAAATTACAGCATTTAGCTCATTCATTTTGTTATTAATACTTATACCCAGAAACTAGAGAACGTTATGCCTGCATGCATCTTCAAAGACTCACAAACATCTTTAAATTTACTGGGTATCTTTTTAAAAATGACCTTTTGCAAGGTATTTAGTTGAAGTGTTTTTTGGTTTTTTTTCCCCTCCCAATTTTAGAAGGGTCACTTTTTTTTTTTTTAAGATTTTATTGATTTATTTGACAGAGAGAGACACAGCTAGAGAGGGAACACAAGCAGGGGGAGTGGGAGAGGGAGAAGCAGGCTCCCTGCGGAGCAGGGAGCACATTGCAGGGCTCAATCCCAGGACCCTGGGATCATGACCTGAGCCGAAAGCAGACGCTTAATGACTGAGCCACCCAGACGCCCCAAGAAGGGTCACCTTTTAAGGTTGCCACCAGACCTAGATTTTCTTTTGATGACTCCAGAAAAGTGCCAGCCAGTGGTCATCTTGAATTGTGAAACGTGTCCTGCAGCTACCAGACCATTGTCATGCCCCGTTCTTCTTGTTGTTGTCGTTCTAGTGACAGCTATATTGTGCGTGTCAAGGCCGTGGTTATGACCAGAGATGACTCCAGCGGGGGATGGTTCCCACAGGAAGGAGGCGGGATCAGTCGCGTGGGGGTCTGTAAGGTCATGCACCCCGAAGGCAATGGACGCAGCGGCTTTCTCATCCATGGTGAACGACAGAAAGACAAACTGGTAATGGCAGACATGCAACCCACGGGTTAAATCAGCAACACCCGATTTCTTTATTGTTTAATCATAAGCCCTCTTCTCATAGGTTGGGTTATTGTTGTTGTTTTTCCCTCCCCTTATTTCTTTGACTTCAAACTGTTATGAAAACTTAAGAAGTTAAAACTCGGGAGCTGATGCCAAATGCAACACGTAACCCTGGCTTCCCAGCAAAGGCACTTTTTACCACACACCATATACCACAGGTGCTTAGAAGTCATGTATTTGGCTCTCTTGTTGGTGGCTTTGATTAAGCTGTCTTTCTGTCACTGTAACAAGATACTCAAAACAAAAGTATGTGCTTTGTTATGAATCACACGGTAGTGAGCTTTGAAGTCGGGTTTTTTTTAAAAATGTAGGGTTTGTTCGTGGAGCATGCTATCAAGGTTTGGATGGTAAAAGGTCAAATGCAAAGGCAGAATGTCACCTGACGTGTGGTTACTTGTAAATACTGTTTATCTCAAAGATACTGTAGCTTTTGTTTCAGATGCTAATGAATAAAATGTGTTTGGAAAAAGTGGCATCCCACGTCTATAATAATTCTGCATGCTTATTAAATATGTACTTTGGAAAGTGATCATTATTCTTTTACGAGTGGAGCATTGGTAGTTCGTACCATATAGTTCCATGAAGGAACTTGGATGTCCAGTTCTGAGTTAGGAACGAATCTATGATATGAAGAAAAATTGAATGTTCCAACCTATTTTTAATTGGTGGCCTTGAACCTGGAAGAACATCGCTCCTATCTGTCCATGGACTCAAAAGCCAACTGTTGCTTCAAAATGTGCAGGATCATATTGAATCTCAACAGAGAAAATATAAAGACACCACAGGAAATGTCAGTGTTACATTTGAGACCCTTAACAGCGAGTGTGTCACATGTTGAGTTTTATGAGTTAAATGTACAAATTTAATCTTCTTTTGCAACCACTTCTTACTGTTTAAAAAAGTTACCAGATAAGACAGAACAATTTGTAAATGTTATATATAGATTAATAGAAATGCTATTTTCACACTTGATTCATTTCCAAAAATGCAATGAATGAAAGTTTAAAGGGAGAGAACATAGCTCATTTTAAGAAGGGTATCCATTCAGGAAATTCCCTATGTATTAGTCAAATAATCAAAACATTCTTATTTACAAGATAATCACAACAAAGGCAATGTAACCACGCTACCAACAAAAAGTAAAATAACTACCATTCAGCTAATGCCTACCATGTGCTAAATACAATGCTAGCCCTTTAGTTAGGTCACATCACTGTGTCCTTACAGTAGCCTATGTAATTATAACTGAAAAAATGAAGATTCAGAAAGACTCCTTGTTGTCAGTGATCCATCTTGAGGGCCTGGAACCAGTATTTGAAACCCTGTCACTCTGACCCTAAAACTGAGCCAAAGTCACATGTGTGCAACTGCTGTTAGCCCTTTGGTGTAGTTTTTTCCCCCATGTGCATATTTTTATTTTTACATAGCTCTGACCAGAGCTTGTCAACAATTTTGTATCTCATGTGCTTTGCCTTAACATTCTCATGAGAAATTTTCCACATTGCTGGTATCAGGTTGATGTAACATTGTTTATTTGATGATCTCCTTAGGGCTATTATAAATATTAAGAGTTCTTCCTCCCCCCTCCCCCAGCTCATATGACCTACCTTCATTTTCCACATTTACTGTTTTCTTGGAATAATTTAGGCGGTCCAATTTTTATGACTTTGGATTCTTGTACAAAGAACTGCTACCAGTGTGTATGAGAATTTCCTTTAACACATGGGAGGTTCATATATTTTAAGTCTCTTCCAGTTTGACAGAGTAACAGTGGCATCATGTTATTGAGTACTAATGGCATCAGTGTTTTTCTGTTTGTTAAACAGCTGTAACTGTGAATTATCTGTCAATGTTCTTTGCTTATTTATCTATTGGGGGCCTTATTTTTCTCCTTGCCATGCATGCCCTCTTATATAAGAACGATATTAATCTTCATCTGCCTTATTTACTGCAAATACCCTTAAAATTTGTTGCTTACCTTTTTGTTTTAGTGTTCTTTTTCTAGCAAAACTTTTGATAGAATTTTTTTTCACTTGTTCCCTTTTTGTTTTTATTATTACTTTTGTGTTAGCAAATTATCTTGCCTGAGCAGTTAAATCTTTTTAGATCTCTTTTTTCTTGGTATTTTCATGGTTTGTCATAGACTATGTCAACCTAACCTTGCCTTTAGATTGTCTCATCCAGCCCCTTCATTTTAGAAATGTATTTATAAACTTGTATCTTACCACTGACTTATACATAATAATTGTAAACTTTTACCATTTTGGTCAGGACCCTTTATGTAAATAACCTCAGTTAAATTCCTGCAACATTCTGAAGGAGGAAGATACTTTTACCTCCACTTTGCAGTGGGAAAACTCAGTGCTCCAAGAAGTGATCCATTTCCTCGATCTAGGCACGTGGTCATTAGCAGAGCCAGCATTGGAAACCATTTCATTGTGAGGCCAAAACCTGGTCCCCTCACACTAACTCTGCAAGGTAATAGGGCAGTCCTGGTTGTGGACCAGCTTCTGTTATTTGTTGCTATTGCACAAGGATTGTGTGCCTTGTCCCCTCGTCATGTTCCCCTGCCCCCTGTCATGTTTCTCAGTCACTCAGTTTCTCTTCCTGTCCCCTCTATATTCTGTGACTCTGCACTTCTAGACTTTTATATGCCCTCGAACTGAAATCACATACCCAGTTGTGTTTCTCCGTCTCTCCACCCCTCATACTCTGGGAAATTCTGGACTCTTCAACTCTGTGGTACTTAACCCTGATCCCCCCCGCCCTATCCCACAATATACACACACACCCCCTTTGGAGATGTAGTGACTCCTCTTTTGGCCTCTAAGCTTCCATAACACAGCACTTTTGCCCCACTGGAGGGTATGAACCCATGTGGGAGCCTGCAGATAGGGTAGGTTGTTGAAGGACCCACTCTAAATGGTGGAATGGTGAGGAGAGGGTGGAGATCATTTTTGATGGATAGTATCAGAGTTGCTAGTATTCCAACTAGGACAAGAAATGCTTTTTCTGATAGAAACAGTGTTATCACTAGTTTTTCCAATGTAGTGCAGTTCTAGAATTTAACACATTGGTTCTTGTTATTATTTGAATTATATGTTGAAGCCTGTGAACAGAGCTACCATTGTTTCTGTGGGGAAAGTCTGTTCCAGACATCCATTCAGAAATTATTTGGGTAATTTTTTTTTAAGTTGGGGACAGTTAAGTTTTCTTGAGAAATTATATGTAAATGTAAAATGTCTGAGTTGAATCATTTTAGATAAATTAGAGAAGTTTACTCCTTAAATCCCATGAGAAACCACCTATGAAGATGAACCCCATACTCTAAAAAGCTGGTCTTCCATTTGTTGTACATGTGCAGGTCTGTGAGCATACATACACACGTGGTGGGAGTTCCAGCTGCTGAAGCTCTTTGAACAGCAATTTGGCAGGATGTTCATTTTAAGTGTACATACTTTTTAACCTGGCAGTTTCATATTTAAACCCCATCCTATAGTGATAGACTTGCACGCAAAGATTTAAGGAAAGCAATGGTTCTCAGACATTTTTGGTGTCAGGATCCCTCCACACTCTAAAAATGAGGACCCCAAAAGGCTTTTGTTTTATGAGTTATAGCTACTTATTTTTTACCATATTAGAAATTAAAACTGAAATTTAAAAAACTATTTATGACAAGTTACTATATAACTATTTTCCAAAATAAAAATAATTGGAGAAAAGAGTAGCATTGCTTTATATTTTTGCGAATCTCTGGCTTAATAGAACATAGCTGGATTCTAATACCTACTCCTGCTTTCAAGCTGTTGCTGTTTGTTGCTTTGGTTGAAGTGTATGAGGAAAATCCAGCTTCACACAGATAAGTAGTTCAAAAAGGGAGAAAAATATCAGTAGCCTTTTCAGGTAATTGTAAATGTACTTGAATATACCCCACTAAAACTCAGCTTATAGTAGTTTCTGAAATGTGCGATCCGAATCCACGTTAATGAACTTTTCATAACCTGTTACATTAAAATCTACTGCTTTATCTTTCACTTTGAGTGGACCTTTTACTCGTTCCTGATTTTTTAACATCATGTCATTTGGAAAATAATGGTTTACTGAGTTCAGCGGATCTTCCAAATGTTGATGCATTTAATTTTGCAGTACCAAAAAATCACATTTCTTAACATCAATCCTAACATCATTAGAAAAGTTGTTAAGTATTGGGAAGCTGTCCAAAATTCTGATTTCACTGGAAAGTTGAGATTTTATTATTGGCAACAAATACCTCCAGTTGTTTTCCTTGAAGTGACAGGCTCACTGTGTCCATTTTCAAGAAAGTATCTGACAAATCCTGGGTCTGAATAACCATCGTTTATCTGTCGGTTGTTCTTTCAAGTAAACCTGGTGATCCCTGGAAAAGGCAGTTCGTTCAAGTCACAGCTAAAGTAGTTGTACAAGTACTTTTCCTTGAGACAGTCATCGTTCATCCATATGCAGGAGAAGTGAACAGGCTGCTAGACGTGCCCCTTGCCTTCCATCTGAGCGTTTGTGCAAAGCCCACCTTTCTTCATATACTTCAGCCAGAGCAACGGATTACAGCAGCTTGAAGGCAGAAGCAGATCCAAGAATCCAATTATGTGCGCTTCTCATTTCACCACACAGGATAAAAGCTGTGTGTTCAAGGGTCAAGACTTAATACTTGTTAACTGCTTCATCAAGGACAATCCGACATAAAACTGGCCTTTTCCACTTGGCCCACGCGGCAGTGATGAGTCCAGTGATTTGCATCAAGTTTGGTGCTGTCGCTTGCCTCCATGCATGGCACACAGCACCCAGGTTTTACTCACTGTGCCTTTGGCACCCTCACCAGAAATGGCAAAAACTACCTTACTATGTGAAATAGTTTTTTTTTTAAGATTTTATTTATTAATTCGAGAGAGAGAGCATGAGTGAGAGGGGAGGGACACAGAGAGGGGGAGAAGCAGACTCCCCACTGAGCAGAGAGCCAGACTCAGGACTTGATCCCAGGACGCTGGGATCATGACCTGAGCCGAAAGCAGCTGCCTAACCGACTGAGCCACCCAGGCGCCCCTATGTGAAAATAGTTTGCCATCCTGGACCCTCTGAAGTGAGGAGGGGCTAGAGAGGGAGGGCTCCCAAGAGCTCGCAGAACAAAATTTGAGAACATGTATAAAGATGTTCATTCCAGCACTATTGCTAAAAGCGACTGATTAAAAATAACCTGGGGGTGCCTGGGTGGCTCAGTCGTTAAGCGTCTGCCTTCGGCTCAAGTCATGGTCCCAGGGTCCTGGGATCGAGCCCCACATTGGGCTCCCTGCTCGGCGGGAAGCCTGCTTCTCCCTCTCCCACTCCTCCTGCTTGTGTTCCCTCTCTCGCTGTCTCTCTCTCTGTCAAATAAATAAATAAAATCTTTTAAAAAAAAAAAAAAAGAAAAGAAATAACCTGAATGCCCATTAGTGTGGAAAATGGCTGAGTAATCCTAACGTATCCCTACTGAGCCATGAAACAGAACTTCTTTCCTGTATCTATCTCTAAGACGTGTTCTCAAGGAAAATAAAAGGCAAGTTGCAGAGCCAGTTATAGGTGTGGCCACATTTAAAAACACTCACACACAAGCTTAGGTGTGTATATAAAGAAGCCGCAGGAAGGGACCTGGCTCTGTGTCCCCCATCCTGACAGTGGCTGACTCTGGAAGTGGAGAAGCATTGAGGGTGGGGAAGGAGAGGAGCCAGAATGGAGCCTTCGTGTATTTGTGTAGATTACTTAAATCTTTGACAATATATATTTCTTGTGTAGATTCTTTTAAAGCTTCCAACGACAATATTTAATCACCTTTTTTTCTCCCCGTGCATCTCATTTAAAAAGATAACCTTTTTAAAGGCTTTCTCAAGTTTTAAGTTAATACCAAACTTCACTAGAGGGTTTACACCTGTGAGGTTGAAAACACCTGAACTTTTTCATTTTTGTCATTAAACTTAGATATGTAATGATGTTATTTTGTTTAATGGGACATAAAGTGATGGTACCTGATCCCCTTCCCCTCACTCATTTTAGGTGGCTGAACTTTTCTAAGAATTTTATAACTTCTCTAAGAAAATTTGCCACTGGAGGATCTTAAACTTGGAAAACATTGACCAAAGACTAATTTTTTTTTACCCTAAAAACATGGAGGGGGCGCCTGACTGGTTCAATCTGTAGAGCATAAAACTCTTGATCTCAGGGTCATGAGTTTTACCACGTTGGGGTAGAGTTTGCTTTAAAAAAAATACGGAGAAACTGGAAGTCTTTGTTTTTACAAAAAAGTTTATTTTGAGACTTTGAATTGAGACTATTAAATTCTAAAATAGATAACATTTGTTGGTTAAAGCCTTGGTTATTTGGATTTCCCCAATTTGGAATGGGGCTGGGCTGACATTTAATCATTGCACTATTCTTAGAGAAAAATGGCCATAATAAGCAATTTAACCATAAATAGAACTGTGTGAGGGGACCGTTGTCTTCTTTCAATACAATGGGATAAAGTGAACTGCTGGGGACCTCCATTGGATATACCAATGTGACTATTATACTCATATTTATTAAGTCAGAGACCATTTATTAGGCAGCACTTAATTTCTGTTTGCTTAGATGTACTCTTGAAACTTGTATGCATTTAAAGTTATTCTCTAATTTGAATTTATACTAATTTAGGCAGGGCTTTACTCTTGCCCTTTGCTTAGTCTAAAATTAATAAGATCTTATTTTGTTAAATGTGGAGCTTTCCCAGAACAAGATCGAAGCTATTAAACTTAGCAAAATCATCTTGGTGTACCTAATGAAGCCGTAGGAATAAATATTTTCGCTATTTTGGAGTTTTTTATGAATAAAGAATGACGTTTACATTCACATGATTGGCAGTGCTTCTTTGATTGTATAATCTTAAACCCTGGTATCTTTATCAGCAACAGCACTGTGCTGGACATGCAGTTATTTTGTAATACATCTTGATCTTCTGCAGCTTGGTTAGGGGCACAAGGCTAATGCACATGAAACTGTTAGAAAATCTGTGAAATCAAGTACCAAATTGTGAAGGTCACAGGAAGAACTGGAGTAAATAAAAGAGTAAAATGTGATGGTGGGAATATCCTGGGAAATGAGTGTGACCTTGTTAAGTTTCTAGTTCAGTGTTTTCCAAGCATGTTGGTGTCTGTGTTATTTCCATTTTAAAGATAAAATGATCAAGGGTCTGTAGCAGCTCCAAGTCATAGCTTAGTAAAAGGCATTTCTGGGCCTAGATCACCAGAAACTTGGAGATTGTTTGAATAATTCAGATAGAAGTTTAATAGATCACGGTGGGAGCAACTGAAATGAGGTTGATCTAGAAGATGTTGAAGTAAAAATGAAGTGGACCTGATGGTCAATAATACAGGAGATAGGGAAAGCAGAAGAGACAGAGACAACCACAGAGATTTTGAGCTGGAGAACGTGAACAGGGAAGGGTCAGCATTGCTAGATACGGGAAGTTGGCAGAAAGTTCAGAACAGGTTAATTTTTTCAACATGTTGCATGTGAGGTCACTGGGAAACACCCATCAGGACAGAGGAGGGAAGATTGAGAGCCATTAAAACAAAGGCCCTGACATAGAAGCAGTAAATCTGAAACAGAGCAAGAGCCCCAAGAACTGGGCCCTCAGCTAGTAACCAACCTCCCCCCACCCCCGCCCCGCCCCAGTGAGGGGTGGGAGGAATTAAAATGAGAACCAAGATGGTTAGAAAGTACAATGAGGATCACCAAAGGCGAACAGGGCGGGGTCAACAAAGAGCAGATGGTCCACAAGGAAAGCAAAGGCTTCTTTCAAGATGGAGAGACTCACAGATAGGAGAAGGCACGGATGGAAGGTTTTCATTAGTTGCCAGCAATGATGGATGGTTCCTAGTTGGATTTTTGGTAACCAGACACCATCACGACTCCTTCACAAGTAACCAGCCTGTGTGTTTCAATCCTTCAGGTGGTACTGGAATGCTATGTAAGAAAGGACTTGGTTTACACCAAAGCCAACCCAACCTTTCATCATTGGAAGGTCGACAATAGGAAATTTGGACTTACTTTCCAAAGCCCTGCTGATGCTCGAGCCTTTGACAGGGGAGTGAGGAAAGCAATCGAAGACCTTATAGAAGGTACCAAATTTTGTCATTGCATTCTTAGGTGGACAATGGGAATGTTCCGAGGTCTTTTTTATTCCACTTGTCCGCCATCCTATATTTATGGTTTACTGGGGGGAGGCCTGGGGGTTAGGTCAGTAGATGCCAAAACTTCAGGAACAGCCACCGAGAACAATTTCCAAGTGACAGTGCAGGGGAGAAGGAGATGGGTTTCAGAGTCAAGGGTGATCCCAGTTGATTTTTAGGCTCTGTTCCAAAAAGGTAAGTTCTGGACTTCCATGTCAGTGACTTTTTGACAAATTTCACCTTCCCCTGACTATTGAAATGGCTTTGGTCTGATCCATGTCGGCTCAGAAAGGCAGAGTGGATTCTAATGGGCCCAGAAGGTGTCAGGCCTTCCCACTGCCTTCCTGTAATGCAAGCCCAGGGTATTTGTCTGCTTTGAAAAAGAAGGGGATTGGTGACTCCTGGAGCCCTGGTTCGGGTTAGGCCTCAAGTCTGTGGGAGGGTGCGTAGTAGACATTGTATTGCATGTGACTGTGGCCTGGAAGGCTCTTGCGCAGTCAATTCTCATGGACTTTTCTAGAGTCCACACATGCAAATGCACAAGTTCTTGACTTCAACACATTCAGTTATTCATTCAGAGTTAAAGGTGCCATGGCCCGGGCCCTGTGAGGAAAGAAAGACTCAAGCAAGGCATGTGAAAGCCCAATTCAGAATTTGGGGAGATTAATTACAAAAGAACGTGGGCTGCATTTGTTTAAGAATTAAAGTGTTCTGAAGTCATATTCTTCTTTGTGGATTTGGGGGGAGAGCAAAAAGCAAATCTTACAGAGAAAACTCGCTCAACGTCAGTAGTAAGACAATTCTAGCTAGATCATGAGTCTGTTCACCCCAACCATGTGATGGCCAAAAAGGTAGTAAACACCAGTGTTCACATTATGGGTCTGACATAAAGTGGCAGATGTTTAGAATGTTATTAAACATAGCTTCTAAATGTTTACAGAGAAAATAGCTCCTGTATTATTGATAGAATTGTGCAGTATGTCCACGTATTCACTGAAGCTACACACAAATTTGACTCTCTTACTTGTAATTTTTTTCTCTGTATATACTCTACCTGGCTGTTTTCTGTCAAATTTTCCTCAAACATCAATTGACTAGAAAAATTAAAACTAGTAGAGGAAACTCCTGAAAGATCAGTAGTAACTGAGCAGAGGAATTCTTTTTTCTCCTATAATCCCTCGTTAGAAGTTTAAATAGTTCTCATTCCTTTCTGAGCAGTTCTTTTAATTTCAGTTTTGTGAAATAGCAAAATATTTTCTAAATGCACATTTTTAAAGACCTGACCAGGGAAGGAGATAAAGAAGAAATTTCCCTGTTGATATACTTATCACATATGCAGATTTAAGTATGTTTTTCCTTTTGGCCATTAACAGTGTCCATTAAGTTGGTCCACACAGTATCAGGTACTGTTAGGGGAAAAGGAAGATGTTATGTGGATTTGCATACCAGAATGAAGAAAGGATGAACACGTAAATAAATCAAACCCCAAACACCCAAATCATTCCATGATGGAATAAACTGGGTTTTTCAGGCACGAGCCCAAATTTTGGCCTGCAGAAACCGAAAACTCACTGGTGCCCCAACATTGCAAGAGAAAACCTCTTTGCATGGGTGTCTGCTTGGAATGCAGCTCCCCCAGGCTGGGTTTTTGAGTCCAGTGTCTACATTTCAGAACAAGAGGTGACCCTACAAGCTATTTAGTCAAGCCCTCTTGTTGGCAGATGAAAAGACCAGAAAGTAAGTCCTGTTTACACGGAGATTGTGGCGGGTCTCCCCTGGGGCACCACTGGCAGAGGCTGGTCGTGGTATGCATGCTTCCAGGCAGTGGGCAGGACCCCCTGTCCCCTCTGAGGTGGCTCTCTGGGTGCTTGTTCTCTAGTGGGCAGGCCAGAAGTTTGAGGGATTGAGAACAACAGTAGGTAGATTTACTTTAGGGAACATCCTAGCTAGAGTCAATTAAAGAGGAGTAAATTAAAAACATTTAATTCCCAGGTTACATATTTCTACTGATAACTCACATTCAAAAGGAATGGAATGTGATTTTATTAAAATATGTTTTTTAAATGATTGGCTTTGACATATTACCTTTGGAAATGCGTCTTACTACATTTTTTTTATCTTTTTAGGCTCAACCACTTCATCTTCCACCATCCATAATGAAGCTGAGCTTGGCGATGATGACGTTTTTACAGTAAGTTCCCTTTGCCCTTTGCTTTCCAGATTAGTTGGTGAAGAATCGGAGAGAGGTTCTGTTTAAGGGTGTGAGAGACACTCCGCAGTTTGTCATTTGCTCTCATTTGTTGGGATGCCATGAGGGAGAGCTCTGTCTTGTCACAACTTTTGCTCTACTGGGTCTGCCCATGTTGCCGTGGTATCATTCACCACAGGGCGCAACTGCGTCCGCTCTCCCCGATATGTCCAAGGTTCTCATACATCTTCCCTCAGATCCAGGGTGACCAACTATCTGGCTTGCCTGGGACTGTCCTAATTTTAACACCAAGAGTCACTAGTCTGCAAAGTCTGCAAGACAACACGTCAAGCCGGGGCAAACTGGGACACCTCGTCGGTCACCCAACTCAGAGTCTTCTGCTAACCCCTCCCTGGCATCCGGGTGGGGGTGGGGGAGCCAGAATAGCCTTTCTGATGAGTAATTAAACATCTGATAAGAAAGGCCTGAAGGCTGATTGGAGGTGAGGCCCACGTATGGGAAAGCAGGAAAGGGCTTGGATAGTTCGACACAGCTTGAGTTAATGGGATATAACTGGAGACCAAATGATTTCTCAGCTTGCTTTTTCATTGAAGTCCTGTGCTTCTAGAAGTTAATTAACTGATAGTCCATTGCAAGCCTGTGGTGTGCTAGGGCAGCATTTTCAAACTCTTGGCCTTGACCCACAGTAAGAAATACATTTACGTTGTAACCTACGACACACACACATCCTTAGGCACCTGAAACCAGATCTTAACTTCATGTTCTGCACTCTGATTTTTTTTCTCTTCCGTTTCATTTTCTTCCACTTTTTATTATGAGACTTTTAAAGCACCGCAGGAAAATTGAAAGAACACAGTGAAAACCTAGATTCAGCAGTTGAAACATTTTCCCCCGTTTGCTTTATCTGTGCATGTGTGAATGTGCGCACATGTGGTTTTGGTTTTGGTTTTTGCCAATCCAGTTGAAAGTAAGTCACCTCAGTGCTTTAATTCTTTTAATACTTCAGCATGCATCTCCTAGAAATAAGGCGTTCTCTTACAAAGCACAATATCATTACTATACCTAGGAAAATTAATAGGAATTTTGTAATAATCATCTAATAGTTCTCCACTAGTTTCTGACCTATCCCAAGAGTATCTTTCGTAAGCTGTTTTTATTTCATATTTTTAAATATTGGTTGCAGCCCTTTAAACGTATTTTCCCAGTGCACTCAACATGGAACCAGTGATTTGAAAAACGCTACTTTGGGAAGACAGAGGTGTGTAAACCATACCTCAGGCTGTCACGGAGAAAGCAGGACAGTTTGGATTGACCTGTGGACGGCTTGGGGGAGGGCACTGACTGTAAAGTATTCTCGTCCAGGGTACTCTACAGGGAGGGGTCTGGGGGTCAGAGAAGACCTCTAGGAGGTGAGGCTGACCTGTTCCTCAGTGGCCTTTGAACCCCGCTCAGGAAGGGGCTTCAAAGCTGGGCAGCACAGGGCAAAGGCAGAAGCAGGGGTGTGCGTGGCAAGTCGCCCAAGGGCCGCGGATCCTAACCTGATGTGAACAGAGCGTGCGGAGGGGTGTCAGGAAATGAATTCAGTTGGCTCTCCATTGAGCGGCTGGTGTGATGTGGCTCTTGAACAGGCTTCCTATAGTGCTCCGAGCAGATCCTCTCAACAGTTGGCATGTTGCTTACATCTGTTCCTTTGTCACGTTTTTCAAGAGACAAACACCAGCAGGCGGGTTAAAAGGTGGCTTCCTGTGCCCCAGAGCAAAACTGTCATCCACAGCTGCTTCCCAGCTACCTGCCAGAAGTGACTTACAGAATCGTGAGAGGGCAAGAGGGAAAGGGGTGATGGAAGCCAGCATCCCTCCTGGTTTTGTCCTTTAATCCACAGGGGCTCAGCTTGCTGCTCTAGGGTAGCGCCGAATGCCTGAAAGGAAGTGTGGAAATGGCAGGGCTCTTTCCAGACACTCAGTGGAACTCACCAGAGAAGGAGCTCCCCTTAATTGTGTTCCAGGCAGGCCCTGATGTCTGTTTGCCTTCATTCCATTTGTTTACAAACAAGGGCCTATTAATAATAGCACCTCCCTTCCCCAGGGCAGGCCTCATCATTAGGCAGTCAAAGGACTGTTAGGTCCTCATACCACGTAAGTAAGGACGTTAAGGCCGGGGAGGGTCATCAGGGGCTTCCTGGCCAGGTAAGTGAGGCATCCGAAAGCTGGAGCCCGGGAAGGGAGCAGCTGCATTGATTCCTCTATAGTCTACAGCTTCCCAAAGCTTGTGGTATTCTAAAACTTTTATTGATAGGACAGATATTTAGAACTTGGAACTCCTTTATTATAGGTAGAGTATAAATGGCAAGAAGACCTTCTAACCACCTTATGGATGGACTAGAATTATGAGGGTTTTCTGGGAGAACAGAACCAGGAGTATATCTTTGCCAGTAGAGCCAGGGGCTTCCCTCTGCTTCAGGGGATTCCTTGGAGCTAGAAAGAACACAGGACATTGTGGACAGTATGTTGATGCATGTATGTTGGGAAATAAAGTGGAGGACGAGACACCCCAACTCCCCCTAGAGCCGTTGGGCGCTCACCACGCGTGGGCTGTCCCTGCTCACACTTTTCCAGCTCTGCTGCTTATCCCCCAAACCAGCTTGTCCTCCTGATTGCTCAGGATTGTGAAACCATGCTGTAATTCCTTAGAGGAAAATTAGTGTCCTGCTTGGCATGTGCGCGAGAGCATGCGCACGTGCGTACATGCACACACACACCCTGTGGCCACTTGCCCACGCCGTTGCCCCCTCAGTGTTCCCGTGCCTCTCCATTCCCTTCCACAGCCACCAGCAGACTCCCAATGAGCAACTGTTCTGATTTTCCGAGTTTGGACTGTTGATTCATTCGTGTGTCCTGATACTTCTCCCTCCTGTCGGTTACAATTGTTTCGTCTCCTTTAAAATTCCAGAGCACTCTGTTGATGATTTCTGTTTTGCCATTTGAAACCCTGCCCTTTTTCCGTTTTTAAATTTTTTATTTGCTGAATGAATGAATCTTTAATTAGAAGCAGGACGTTCACCACTATAGTTTCCGCAACCCTATAAAGCTTTGCTCTAAAGGTGCTCAATAAACGGGTGGTCTGAACCCCAGATACAGTGTGTAACAACCATAGGTTTGCATATTTTATTCATTTGCCATACTGTTATCCTGGGGGGCCATGCAAGGTTGGGTGATTTTGAGGGATGCTTGGTAGCTTTGTGTCCTGTTTTTCTAGCTGTGTTTTCTGCTGAGTCTACGAACGGGAGCTGAGCTCCTAGCATTGTCGCTCACTGGAAGCTTTTGACAGCTCCTGCGGCTTCTTGCCCTTCTGTTAACTCTCTCCCCCTTGCAACACAGTCTCGTCCCGGCCCCCTCTGCTCATGGGGACCTCAGTTACGGTGACTGGCGCAGGTGAACACAAATACCTACATGGCAAGGCTGTGTGCCTGGCATTAAATATGCAGGTAGGAGGCCTGAGCCATTTGGTAAAATTTGGAAGGTGAGTAATGCAAAAAATACAAAGCAACGACAACAAGAAAGGTTAGCGTTCTGTTTAACAGGAGTTTTTTTGGCATTGCTAAGAGTTGGCACACTCTTGTTGATGCCTCTGACCGACAGCTCTTAGTTTCTTTCATTTCAGGGCTGGGGAGACTTGAAAGGGACAGAATGGAAAGACCCTCAAGTCTGTTCCCTCTGTTGTGCTTTTGTCTTGCAGAGAAGACATGTGCTTTGGCATATCTTGTGGAGGAGGCCCATTGTCAGCCTGAGATAGGAACAGTTTAGCTCCGTGGATAAGCTGATCTGGTTTGCTCCCCAACTTAGGACTCACTTCCTCCAAGCTCCCTACAGTTGAGGACTCTGAGGCCAGAGGGTTCAGAGCCTGCAAGGAAAGGGGGGGGGGAAGAGAAGTAGAAAAAATGGACCATATAGAACTAGAATGGCTCTGGGTTTTATGGCCATTTAATGAAGAATTTTCCCAAATCCTGTTCCCTAGCGTTGGGTCCATTAAAACCCAATGGTTTACTTACTGCTGCCAAAGTCTACAATCCTTTTTAAATTGTTATTAGCGTCTTCATAGATAGACAAGGATAATTTTGATGTGGTCTTGGAGAATGCAGCTGTAGTGTGTATGTATACATACTTCTAGAGCAGGCTAATCTAGAATCTGCGGTCAAGTGTTGTCGCTGCTTCAGCTGTCATTGTGCTGAGTGGCTGGATTCTGACTCTAAAGCTTGGGGATTAGGAGAAATATTTGCTTTATAGACAGATACTTGGGGGTGTATAAAATAGCTAAGTCTTCATCTTCCATAATAAGAAGTCCTGAAATAATATCTAAATCTGTAAATCGGGTAACAGTAGTGTATAACCACATAACATTGGAAACAATGGAGAAAAGCATAAGAAGGAGTCACAAGAACTAGAAGTGTATTTTTCTCTGGTGCATGAGCACAGATGGGGGCGCAGAACTTGTTGGAGATATGAAATGATACACATGTGATTTTTTTAAAAGAAAGAGTGCTGGGGTTTTCTCAGAACGGGGGCCAGGGCTCAAGGGAGAAGGTGGAATGGAGAGATGCCTTAGTTCCAGCGATCCTGGTCCCTCCTAGCCCCCCCACTGGGGGTTTAAAGACATAAAGAGACACAACAGACGTTGAGGTCTGTGGCTGGAGGTGCTCTTCTTCCTGCTGGTTTCTCTGCCTGGTGCTAGGAAGCAGTAGGTCCACCGTGCAGATAATTAGCTGGAAACGTTTGGCTTGCAGGGAGGCGAGGTTAGCTGTAGATATGCCAACTCCTTAGAATTGGAAGGGATTTGGGGTTCCTATCACCTGAGCCAGTGAAGCAGGATTCGCCTCGTTTTACAGCCTGGGTTGTGGAAGCAGCTCAGAGTCCACTGGGTGACTTGCCGAAGATCATATGGCTAGTTCCTAGTGGAGGAGCCGTGAACACCCTCCCACGGCCTTC